GACAGTCCACTTCCTCCCCAAGTGTTATATTCATGTCATGTGAGAAAAAGAGATGAGTTTTTTTAACCTCTTCTCACAATGCCAGAACGTATTGAACAATAATAAATTCACAAGTTTAGCAGTGACAGTGGTAGTGGCAGCAGTTTGTCACTTAACCTCACATACCTGATAAGTTGGCCAAGGTGAATGCAGGCTCTTTCGTTCCAGTCATTACTACTAATGTTAACTATTGCATCGCACAGCACACAGTAAACATGTGTATGGCTATGCACGTCTAGAGGATTTACAGAAGGAATGCAGGAAGGCGGTTGAAGCCGAGTTTTAAAAGACGCAGAAAAGGGCTGAGAGTCTATATTGGTGAGATCAGGAGTCAAGTCAGTGCTGGAAGGGAGCCGCTGAAGCCGGGGTTTGTTAGAGTGAAGCTGTACAGACCTGGGAATCTGAACTGGGATCCAAGAACAGGGATTGAGGGTTCAAGTCCAGACTGAGATGGATGAACCATTGGGCAGGAAAGCTGTTGAGTAGACCGTGGGGAACAGAGCTGAACTGAAGCTGAGAAATCCTCTGCTTGTCCTTGAGGCGCTCCTGTGCATACATGCATGTGTGTGGACTCACAGACACACAAATATCAGAGGACAGGCTGGCATGGGGCCAAGCCATCATGGTGTTAGGTGACCATCACTTTATATGGTCCAGGTGGGGGAGTTATATCTGTTCTGCCTTTGGTCTGTTGTGTCTGATAGATTCTTGGGCCTGGTTTATCTTATATGATTTGAAAATACCCATGTGCCCTCATGGTCTCAATTCACCCTTTTAAATTTATAGGGTAGCTCTTTATCTCCACCAAAGGACAATCACTTATCAGTCTACACTGTGTGGGTAGTGCCAGACAGACAGGGTTGTTTCTGGACTGCAGTCATTCTTCTCCCTCCAAGTAAAGTCAAAAGCTTCTTATCAAATGGAGTCTCCTAGGGCAAAGCTTCCAGAGCCTGTTTTATACAATATGGAGAAACTTAGAGTAGGACATAGGCTGATCTCAACATTCAGTCAGATTCACCAGAGAGCTCAAGAAATGCTTGAAGACAGACCAGAAGCACAAGGAGGTATGAAATGCATGAATGAGGACACTGCCTCAGTAACACATCACATCTGTGTCTTTGAGCAAATTAACATTCTTCAGTTGCTTTGTCTATAATACTACCAACTATACAACATATATATATATATATATATGTGTGTGTGTGTGTGTGTGTGTGTGTGTGTGTGTGTGTGGCCTGTCACTAAGTATGTTTCAATCTGTTCATCTCTACCTAGTTTCTCTACTTTCTCTTTAGACATATTTCAGTGTCAGCAGAAGATGTCTCTGGGTAGAAGTCAACTCTTCCCTCTCATTCCTCAGATTAGGTGTGATCAAAAAAGAGAGGAAGATGGGAAAGCATACTGAAGTAAAAAGGGATTTGTGAAAGCACTTATGCATGTGTGCACACTTGTGTGTGTGCATGCATGTGCGTGTGCGTGTGCGTGTGCGAGTGTGTGTGTGTGTGTGTGTGTGTGTGTGTGTGTGTGTGTGGGTGTGGGTGCGGGTGTGTGTGTGTGGCAGTAAACTGTTTAGATCCCTCACAGTTTGGAAGGAACCAGCTTCTCAAACAAGAGTAACTGAAATAAGCAGCTGCTATCCAAGGGAGCATCAAAGCTTTGTTTAATGTTTAATGTTGCATTTCCAAAACACAGAGGCTCCATTTTCAAAGTCATAAATGCTACCCAATAACTTCTCTCTCATCAATATTTTGTGGTAGGTATGGCAATTCTATAGTTCTCTGGAACATGGCAAACCTACTTTTATCCTTCTCCTTGTTTCCTGCATGGATTAGATTTAAATGTTTTATATCAGATTCTGGGAACCATCAGAAGTGGGCTAGTTCTAAATGGGAGGAGAGACCCATGGAAAGCCTGGCCTGGAGCTAGGTGCACAGGGTGGGCAGCCAGATGACCTCTATTCTGATGTAGCCTCCATTCCCAGACTCCACAAGTGAACTTATCTAACAGGAAACATGTGGCTGTGTGATGTCATCACCAGGCTAGCAGCAGATTCAGAATTAATTGTATACTATGGTGTTTGTTACCGTAACTGTGGTCATAGCTCTGATGTGGTTTAGCAAATTTCTCCTTTAGATACACGTGGTGCTGATTTGATTAGTGTCCTTTTCCATACCTGCCTGCTTGTTGGAAACCTCATTCCAATGTCTAGTTAGCACCCCAGCTCTGCTGACTCTCTGAAATAGACAGCTATGTCTGTTCAGCCTGTCTCTCCCAATGGAGTGCCACATGTCCACTTCTGGTGAGATGGATGCAAGCCTCTCTTCTAGTTGGCCCAAGGAGTTGGCTGTTTGTGATTCTACCACAAGTTAGTTAGTTAGTTAGTCAGTCAGTTAGTTAGTTAGTTCACCTTCATGATCCATAACTTTTGGTACTACCAGGTGAGGTGGGCCCCCCTAATGATCAATCCCTGTAGTAAGATGCAACTTATAGCACAGGCTGCACATGCCCAGATGCCTTTCTCTTCACCACTTTAGCTTTTAAATGTGTGGTCCCTAACTTCGAGCTAAGCATGCCCATAAATGTGCCTAGGTGTCCTTAAACTGGGCATGCTCAGGAATGTGGTTTTCTATATGGATATGTATGTATTAAGTATGTATGTATGTATGCGCTTTGCAGGTCAAATTTTCCTGCTTTCTTTGTTGAAGAAGGATATTAATCTTACCTGTTATGGTTAATAAGACTTTCTCCTCTTTTTTCTCTTGGCTAAATGTACTAGCATTACATCCTCCAAAGTGTGAGTCTGTTGCACTTGGTTTCACTTCTGCCAGTTGTGCCCTGTTCGTGGTTTATATTCAAGCTGTCTTAACCGAGAATCTGGAGTCTTCACCACACCAAATGACCTTCTGGCCTCAAATCTTCTTATAACGGTGTCACACGACTGTTTGCCGCGCACTTTGCCTCACAGTGTCTTTATCAGTACCAGGCCTGGATCAGAAGCACCTGTGCAATGTCCATGCCTAAGACAATCCCACCAAGACTATTTTGTTTTCATTTGTAATAGAAGCATAGTGACCACACATGTTGAGGAGTTCTAGGTATTGTTTCAGAATATCTAGATATTATGAAATTGTCCAATCATGGTACTTAGCTGATCAGTCATCTTACGCACTTATCATTGTTTTCATAGTTTGAGATATTCATCAGATAAATTTGATCTATTTCAACCTATTGTGTATTAGCTTTCACTAGCACTTATTCTTGCTATCTGACTCTTTGCCTGATGATCAATCACTCCCTATTAGCTCATCTGGCAACCAGGAGTCTTCTCTCTATAACTATGATGTCAGCCATTATTAGATGCCATGGATGAATGGGACCATGTAGTATTTTCCTTCTCTGTGCTGGCTTGTTTAACATCCGCCACAACCTATGTTGATGAAAAGTGATGGGATTTTTATCATTTTACAGCTTTATAATATTTCATGAAGTCTCTACACCACATTTTCTTCACCCAATCAATAGACAATTACACTGATTGAAAAAAAGAAAAAAAGCAGAAACAACAAACCGAAAAAAAAAACCCACTAAATTTGGACTTTGTCTGGAAAAAAGTCTCTCATATATACTTGTTACAATTAAACTTTTTAAAGTTTGCATAAGCCTATGTTCTTGTAAATTCCTGCAAGCTAGTGAGTTTCTTAAGCATGCTTATACTGATGCAAAAACCTCTGTTTTTAATCATATTAGACCCTTGTCTTTAAATACTTTCAAAAAATTTATAATTTTTTTCTTCTGATCATCCAGGTTTTAATTGTGTCTTTTTTTTAAAGGAAAATATTTCACTGGCAAAAAAATTAAGTGGTTATTGTCAACTTCAGACTTGTCATTGGGCAGGATTTTCTTTTATATTATTAAATCTTTCCAAAATCTTGAAGATGTGCAGAATTTGTAAGGTAATGTTTAAGAGGCATTAATATTTGTTTTATGTTTCTGGATCACTAAATAAACATTTCATGTCTCAGCAAAAAAAAAAAAAAAAGAAAAAAGAAAAAAGTAAAGAGAGAATCCACAGAAAACTTGGCCAAGTTTTAAAAATATAGGCATCTTGGAATAAGAAAATGAGAAATTGTAGAGAGCAATCATATAGCTCAGGAATTGAAGAGTAAGACAAATGAAAAGAAAGGAATCCAGAAGTTTTATTAGCCACACACAACTTTTAAAGTGGTAGAGTCAAATTTTCATTGGCCATATTTTAAACAATTGATGCAGATGGGTCTTTTTAAATGCATTATAATTTAGTTCAATTAATTTAACACTAATATAATACACAGGGTATGTCTCATTAGACAATGAACTTGTCACCGGAGAAGCCTTACTAAAAATAAGGCTTCTTAATCCAGTAAGTACCAAGTTCAGGATTCCCAGAAAGAAGCTTAGTGGTCAGCGCATACGGTATAAAACCTTGCCCTTCGTACTGCAGGAAATATCTATGGGATGTATCTGGCCCATTGGTCTAGTGATATGAGAAGCATGGCACATACACACTGCAGCACAGGTGAGTGGAAAGAGAAAACCTTTCTTTTGGATGAGAAAGCAAGCACACCCATTCTTAAAACCATTTGCAAACGTGTTTGTTTTTCAATCTACACTGTCATTTTCACAGGCTGCTTGATCTTCCTGCTTTGGGTTAATATAGAAGCCAATTACAGCTTCATCTGTGTAGAATTAACTTTGTGGAGCACACACCGGGGATTTATCTGTCTCACTATTTAGATATATGCCATAAAAAGGCGCATGGAGCATCGAGCATGGAGCGGAGTGCAAGCACTACAGACAGCAGACTTTCAGATTTATTGTAAGATCGTTTCAAATTGGCTATTTTCTTGCCAAATGTTAATTACATTTTTCTCTCTTTTTTTTCTGGGTATGGGGGACCTGGGGGGCTCTCTGGGTCTCACTAGGTGGCACTGCACGATTACATGTGCAAAAGACATGACACCAAGTCCAGTGTCTCCAGCTCTGACCCCCACCATCAGGATGGAATTTCTGCATCTGCAGTTGGTCCAGGAGGGGTTACTTCCCACATATCTGTATACACTGTTTATCCCAGTGGGTTTCAAGAGTTATATCGCCATTTTCTTAGGCTCCCGGATGGAGCCATCATTGAGGTATGTATGTATAAAAATATTTGTTCTCTGTATTATAGCTTGTCAATATATATCTATATATATATATATATATATATATATATATATATATATACAGGCATATATATGCTAATATATATGCATGCTTAAATGTATGTGATTTTCACTTGATGTCAAGCACATCAGCATCACTGGGCACATAGATGGTAACTAGTGTCTGTAATACTGTAACAGGTTTAGAGTTGTATTTTGGGTTTTGCCTACACAAGGACAAAGCATAAAGAAAATGAAAGTTTCTGCTTATAACTATACTGGGGGAGATAGCCAAAGAAAATTCAAACAGAATAACTCAAAATTCTATCTAAAACTGTTTCAGTTGGTAATACTTACAATCATCAGTAGGATGATAGAAGAAGAAGATTGTGAGTTCAAACTTCGTATGTGCACAGTCCTTCAGTCAAAGAGATGCTGATGTTTCTTTCTTTCTGATGAAAAACTTATAAAACTCCAGAGAAGCACCCCATCTCTAAATCTTTAAGAATCTTTTGAAAATAACATCTGTGGAAGATCTCAAAGTCACGAAGACTGATTGTGAATTTAAAAGCTCATGTTGTATCAGATTTGTAGAATCCAAATTTACAAATCTGAGTTGAATCCTGGGGTGGCATTTCACTCACATAGGCATTGCTTCATTGGGGAGTCTGAGGGGATGTCAGGATGGAAATAAAGACTAAGAAGGAAAAGCCTGCAGGGACATAGACTGCATGTCACTGAACTGTGCTACAGGACCAGCCCGCTAAAATTGAAGCACCTGTCTGTCCCACCACCTTTGAATCTGGCCAACACTGTTTTTTTGTTATGATACTGATGAAAAATACAACAAACAAAAATAAAATCCATTCACCGTATCTTGGAAGAAATTTCAAGTCGTTCAGAGCTTAGTCTTGCAGACAGGATCAAGTATAATTCGAACCTAGGGAATCCCCACAGGCTCGTTCCTGAGAGAGGAGCACAGCCAAGCTCTCCAAGCAGACAAACCTCCTCCTCCCTCATCATGCCTTAAGAGAAAGGTGTGCATTTCAGTACATGAGGCTGCAGCAGGCGAGCCAGTGCCCACTGTCTCCAATGTAATTTTGAAGAGTCTGGTCCAGGCTGTTCTTGGCACTTATCCTGTATGGTCCTTTTTGGCTTCTGGACATTTGCTGTAAAAGCCTTGTTTTTTGTTTTTGTTTTGTTTTTTTGTTTGTTTGTTTTGTTTTGTTTCCTTCTAACAGAATGGACTGATGTGATTTCACTTTTTACATTTGCAGAAGTGTGTGTAAATGTGTGCACACAGAAAGAAGACTTTCTGCTCTAACATGTTACATTTCTCCTGGTGCCTGGGGGAAAAGTCAGGAGGGAGGTGTTTAGGCCTCCAGAGCACAACCACCACCAGAGTTCTTGTTTCCTCTCTCGTTCTTTTGCTCCATAACCTTGGCTTAGTCATTTCTCACTTCTCTGCCTATTTCCTGATCTGGAAAACTGGGTTATGCATACTTATGCTACCTGGCTCATGGGGATTTGGGGTAGATTAATGAGATAACATCTGCAAAGTACTTTTAGCTCTTTTTCAAGAGGTACAATAAGGATCACAAGGAATTATGGATCTTGTACAATTAGGTACATTCAACCTATAAACATTCTTACAAATATTGATGATTTTACACTAAAAATGAACTGAAGAAGCTTCTGGAAGTGGTCAGGAGGTAGGCACTAGAGCCATCTGCCTCTTCCTCTTTTTGTTTTCATAGCCTTCCTATTACAAGGGGAAGCGATGGACAAGCAACTGGGTAATTGCTAGTTCTTTTGCACAAATGAAATCCCAGCATCAGCCCTCCTTCCTAAATTGTTTATTTGGGTCACAGGATATGTACTGGGTCTTGCCTTCTCTTAGGTATGCATTTGATGTGTCCATTCAAGCTTTACTTCCACTGTGTCCCAAGACATTCATTCCACAAAGAAACGTCCTCGCTGTATTTTTTTTTCTAATGCTTACAGGGAGTGTGGATTTTATATTTTATCATTTCCATACTTCTCCTGGGATGGGTCTGAGTCTCCGAGGTGATAGAATACTAGAGCTGATTGAGGAGTAAGCAGCACCTGCCCTGCTATTCCCCTCCCTTCCAACCCCTTTATCTCTCTTCAGACCTCACGGGATACTGCCAAGCCTATTTTGAACCCTTTTCCTCTTTGGCCCCCCTCCCTGCTTCCTTTCCTTCCCTTCCTCCTCTTCTCTTTCTTTCCTTCCCTACTGTCCCCTCTCTCTCCATGTCTGCCTGTCTTACTCCCTGTCACTCCCTCTGTGCCTTCCAGGCTGGGAATCAAATCCTGCTAGAAATATACTAGCCCACAGATCCAGCCCTGCTAGGTTTGCTATTGATCTTGGGAGCTATAAAACCTGAAATTGAAAGGGATTTGAACCTGGTCTTTTGAATTCTTAATAAGAAACCAAATTCATGTTTTTTTCAAGATATAAAGAAATTTCAAACATCAACAAACAGGTAGATTACACATCAAGCTTAGAGAAAGGTCTTTGGAAGTTTTTTTGTTTGCTTTTGAGGGTTTTTTAGATTCATTTTATTTTTATTTTATAGGCATTGGTGTTTTGTAATGACTGTTAGGTCCCCTGAAACTGGAATTATAGACAGTTGTGAATGGCATGTGAGTGCTGGGAATTGAGCTCCAGTCCTCTGGAAGTGCAGTCCGTGCTCTTAACCACTGAGCCATTTCTCCAGCCCGTCTTTTGAGTTTCTAAGGTGGTGGCTCCTAAACAGCCAGAGACACATACTGACTTGGATTCTCTGTGTTAGATACTGAATTGGTACTCTATGAAATCTGTCAAGTTTTCCTGAATTCCCAGATTCCAAACTATGTTATTCATGGATACTTCATACCATGAGGTTCTTATCATTATAGCCTTTAGGGGAGCCTAAGCCTTGGAGGATATAGACCTACTTACAGATGTGGGTATACTCAGGCCACACAGGCCTGAGTCAGATATTCTGCATAAGAAAAAAAAGTATACACAGTCCAAGACTAATTCATTTAGAGAATAGATATGACATTTAATTCAAAAATGAAAATAGATGAAATTTGGGTCTAATTCTGCAACTAGAACTTTACTCTTAAAGGTTTTATGATGGATTTGTGTATTACTGGGACTTCTGTGTCTCCCTGAATCTGGTAAGATGAACAGGCCAGATATTAATCATTTCCCATTAAAAAGAATCCCAATCAAACCTTAGCTTTTTGGCACAAAAACAATTATCTTCAAGTCTCTATTTACGTGGAAAGATATGCTTTCTGAAAAGAACAATTTTTGCACAAAAGAGGTCAGAATTCACAAGTATGAAATGGACTTGATATTGAAAACCTGCTGGTAGCGTTTTTCACACAGGCATGCTCGCTAGGATGACGCAGTTCTTTCGCTGTCCTGTGTGTTTTGTTTTGTGCACCCTCCACTCCAGAGCAGTGGCCAGGTCCTCCATGCAATGCTCTTCTCTCTAGGAGGTCCTTACCACCCTCTCTACATTCGTGTATTTTACCAGGTTTCTACTGAGAAACGTTTTATCTCTTTGTTCTGTAGGTAGGGAGATCTTCAGATACTGTTCGCTCAAAGTTACTGTAAAGTTTTTTAGTTCCGCAAAGCCTAGAAACCCAGGCAAGCCTGGTGGAGATTCATCAAGTTACAAATAAGCTTCCTGTTCCCAGGGTAGCAGTGGCAATTAACAAAGTCCTTGGAGCATTCGTTGGGGTGGAATGGGAAAATGGATTTTTGTCATTAGAGGCGGTGTCGCCTGGTGGTCTGAGTGGAGAACTGGGAGCCAGGAACTCGGCGATCTAAGGAGGCCCAGCTCAACCCTCCTGGAGGCTTCCGGCAAGCAGCATAGGTCTCAGGAGGCCAACCTCACCTACTTTGAATCTCCCTTCTGAAGAGCTCCTTACCCAGGGCCAGGGGATACGCAGCAGGAAGCCCGATTTCTTGCCTGCAAAATGAGAATATTAATACTTGCCTAAATAACAGATTAACCAATTAGTATTAGCGTTCTGCTGATAGAAAACAGCAGGAGAAGGAAGGAGGAAAGGAAAACCCAAACTCAATTTTATGATAAGATGGGTTTTACTCAGCTGTGGGGTTTCTGACTGGCAGGAAACCCAAGGCCTACATTACAAAGAGCCATGAACAGAGAAGCCCCAAACAGAGGGCAGAGGGGCTGCCTGCATGGAAGGTGTGTAGGGAGCTTGGAGTAGCGTAAATCAGTCGCCTTGAACCTAGTGAAGTGCAGAATGAAACTTTACCAAAAGCATTGGGAGTGTTTCAGTCTAAAATGTACGGTTTAAATTTCTTCCGTATGCAATAATCCGGAGTATTTGACACTTCTCATGTCTATACTCTATGAATACTATGAATATCAATTTGTTGTCTCTCTCTGTCTCTGTCTCTGTCTCTGTCTCTCTCTCTCTGTGTGTGTGTGTGTGTGTGTGTGTGTGTGTGAGAGAGAGAGAGAGAGAGAGAGAGAGAGAGAGAGAGAGAGAGAGAGACCCTTGCAAGAGAAAGAGAAAGAAAATGGTAATAATGAGGGGATGTCAGTATTTTGCATTTTCAGAAAAATTGCCACATTAGCGTATACTTTTGTTTTAAAGGCATTGCAAGGGGAGGAGAAAATGAGAGGCCACCCCTGTATTTCTTATTCTACATAGTTTTGGGTGGCCCTGAAGATTACTATATTGCAATAAATTCATCCAAAAATAGAAAAAAGAAGCATTTCCATTGCTCAAATTTAGAGCCTTTGACATTTTGTGTGCAGCACCCGTCCCTTTGAGCACATACTCATGTGACAATACCCACAATACACGCTAAAGGAAAAGCTTGTCAGCAGACAATGGAGGCTTTCCATGAACTGTTGCTACAAATGTCACCTATACTAATAACTTGTATGTCTGGTTTTTAGATTCAAACTTAGTCATTGCAATTTCTATTG